GCAGCCTGAGCTCGGTGGCGCCTGTCGTTCCCCTGCAGCCCCCCCTGCAGCCCCCCCGCCGCAGGAGTGCGTCGCGGCGCTGTGGTTTCTAGCACCCTGTCATCAAGTGACACCGGGAGCCCTAACAGCCTTTCTGTGGCAGGAGTGTCAAACTGCACTGCTGGGGACTGTTTGACACCCCTAATCTCACTCCCCCTGCTCCCCCTCTTACAGGAAAGCGGGGGGGCAGCCTTCCTGAAGTGACTCCAGAGCCGCAGCTGAACCAAGTGAAACGTTCCGCTGAGGTTTCGTCCGATTTCACTAATCCTGAGAAAAATCCCAGACAGCAGGTGGCCGCTCGGCCCATCTAGTCCTTTTGTTCGTTAGTAGCTGCTTCATAGCAGCCAGGGTTTCGGCTTCAGCACCTTGGGCGGGTGGCATGTTCCCCGCTCCCACAACTCTTTGTGTGCAGAAGTGTCCCCCCCCACCCCGGGGTCATCTCGGCAGCCCCGAGCCCAGCTGTGCGCTGGAGTGTCCTGGCCGTGCGCTGGAGTGTCCTGGCCGTGCGCTGGAGTGTCCCGGCCACAGGCAGCTAAAGACAGGCCCGGCTGCTGATGACGTAAAGGGGCTCGGAAAGAAAGTGGCAGAGATTGCCTGGAAGCTCTGTCGGACCCGTGTGCGTGGGGTCCGGTGCCAGGCCTGTCCTCCCCACAGGCCACGGGCCTCGGGCCTCAGGCCCCGTCTCCAGCGCTGGGGCGCGTCAGTCTGCGCTCAGCCCAAGTCAGACTTTCCATCCAGCAAAAAAAAAAATAGGCTTCAGATCTGAATTGATTTAATTTGTTGTTCAGGAAGTGTGGGTGCTTTCCGAGGATGACTGTGTGGGTCTTCTTTGCAGAGAGACAGGGGCAGATGCAGGCTGGAGCTTTTCTGCACCATGTGGCCATCAGAGCTTGTGGCCTATAGTTCAGGCATTATAAAGCAGGCGTTCCTGTAGGCGCCTTAATCTAACTAAACATTTGATAATCGGTATGGGAAGCAGGAAACTGTTAAAGTACAGTACATCATGAATGAGATGTTGTTGAGCAGCGAGGCTGTGCTCTATCCACCTCAGCCAGCACGATGAGCTACTTTTTATTCTGATAGAGAACTCCATTCCCAATTCGTGAGTTTGCACCCAGACTTTGTAGGAATCGAGCTGGACGTGTCGTCCCATTCACTGGCGTTATAGGAGCTAAACCACCGCTGAAGGGTCTGTGAGGTTAGGAAACTCGGCTCTCTCTGATTGCACCGCAGGGCAGGACTGTGGTCAAGTGGTTCGAGAGTCATTAAGTTACAGTCCGTGAAGGTCCATGACACATAATTAATACACGCTGAGCATTAAAGTCCAGTACGGACAGCACCAGAAATACACTTTTTGTTAAAACCTGCTGCACGGGTTGTGCTTCAGCTCGCGCTAACGAAAAATGGACACCGTTTCATGCAACCAGCTGGAGGATAGAAATCCGAAGTCCGAGCGCTACGCAGAAGACCGGGGCAGAGGGGTGCGTCCGCTTGCATTCTGGATTGAAGCTGGAACGTTGTTCCCCAAGACGAATGCAAGAGGCTGGACAGTATTTGTCAGTCGCTGGCCCCTCCACAGCTGCTGAAACAAGTCTGTCCTTGTGTGGGTGGGCTTTCGCACAACACTGTCAATCCATGACGGGACAAATCGGGCAGACCAGCTGACAGTGATTAAATCGAGCGACGGAATACAACACTGGACGCTTTCTTTCACTGCGCTGGAAGTCATGTGCTCTTTGCCAACTGCCCTTTCTCGTAACTTCACTCTGCACTGTTTCTGTACGGCCTGCTGCAGCTTGATTATGCTGCCCCACTGGTTTACGATTTCGGTTCTTATTTCCTATTCAAGTAGATCAACCTGTCCTGCAGGGCAGGGGGAGGATTCTTCCATAAGCAGATTGAGATCTGGATGCTACAGGACTGAAATACAGGTCAGGAGCGTTAAAAGAGAAATTGAGCCAGCAGCCCCCCGGTGTCCAGGCGCCTGGGCGTGTCGCTGCGTGTAAACAGCACGGAAGTGCCCAGTTTCTCGTATCGACTGGACTGGCTCGAGCTTGCTGGGGCAGGGCTGCAGCATATTTGCTTGAGCTGTGAGACTCTCTGAAATGTGAGACGCCCAGAGATGTATGGCGTGCAGGAGATCTGGATACTAATTAAGAAAGCGAGCAGTAGTTAACGAAGTTCCAGGAATCGCCTCTCCTGATCTAATTTCTGCTAGGCAGCGCCGGGGGCCAGTCGGAGTGCATGCTGGGAGTGAGAGTGGGCGCTCTGCAGGGGGGCGTGTGTGAGCAGGAGAGCAGTGGGGGAAGAGTCGTTCTTTACCGGATGGGGGAAGAACGTTCGGACCCACCGCAGCTGTGAAACCGGCCTGCGGGCGCCGGGTTTCGGATCGCGCTGGCTGGGGGTGACCGGCGGGCTGTTGGACGTCGGCTCCGCGCTGCCCTGTGTGCCCCGCGCTGGACGCGGCCCGCGGGGGGCCGAGCAGCTCCGTCGGGGCGCTGTATCTGCTCCGTATCCGCTCTCCTCTCTCCGGTGGCTGTCGGGCGTGAGGCGGGAGACTGCAAGCCGAGAGAGCAGCCCGCACCCCGGCCGTTCGCAGCGCCTGCTTGCTCGGCCCCACAGCCACTCTTGTGAAAAGCGGTGGCTCGAGGGCCCTCTGCCCTCTGCCCTCTGCCCTCTGCCCTCTGCCCTCTGCCCTCTGCCCTCCTTAGCTGTGGCATTCGTGCCATGGCGGTTTGCTTGTGGCTTTCAGTTCAGAAGAAACTAAAAAGGGTCAGTAGGCGTGCCTTTCTGCGGTGTCCTAGCTAGTGCTTGTGAGCTGCTGAAACCCTCGTGTGTCCATTGTGCTTCCTGAAAGGAGCGGAGTGGAAGGAATGTGTTCGGCAGCCTTTGTGCTCCACCTGTGTGTGTGTGCTTGCGCCCGCGGCTACGTGTGTGTGTGTCTGGCGACGTGGCAGAGGCAGCTGAGTGACAGCAGGCCAGGGCCAATCGCAGTGTGAAGGCGGGGCAGCGGCTGGTGTCCAGTTTCCTGGCAGTTGCACGGCGCTCTGGGAGTCTGCTGGGACTTGTCAGCAGCCCTGCATGCACCTCAGGCAGCAGGTGATAAGACACGCAGCAGCCCCTGACAACCAGGGCTCTTAAAGATTCATTCTAAAGCTTTTTCCATTTTAATAATGATTTAATAATTGTTTACACTTATATAGCGCTTTTCTGGACACTCCACTTAAAGCGCTTTACAGGGAATGGGGATCCCCTCCACCCCCACCAGTGTGCAGCCCCACCATAGTGTTCACAGTACACTCACCACACATCAGCTATTAGTGGGGATGAGAGCAGAGTAATGAAGTAGTGAATTTTGGCTAATGTCTTTAAGACATTCAGGAGGTTATCAGGCCACCCCTGTGAAAGTAAAATCTATTGATAGGAAAGCTGAAGAATGCATGTTTCTCCTCTCTGTTGGAGCTTCTTGACAACTGAGAACTGAGAACTGCTTCAACATGTTTTGGAAAAGCAGGTCAGAGTTGAAGAGATCTAGACCATCACCAATCATGCGAGTCCAGATTCCCAGATCCAGTTTGGGGGGACTGCTGCTGCCTTGAAAACAGCGAGCTCTTGGACAGACCTCTGGGGTACACGAACCAGAGGCGCCGAGAGGAAACGCTGCCCCTGTGTCATTGCTCAGGCTGCTGGAGCGCGCTGCGGTCTCGTCACGTGCAGGAAGCTGTGAAACCGCACAGGAAGCTGGGTGACCACCTAGGCGAAGACGTCCGAGATCTTTGTCTCTAGAGTCTAGACGTTTCATTTAGGCCGGGTCTGACGGGCTTCAGAATGAACCTCCGTTGCCGTCTCTGCTGGGCCATCCCTCGGGTCAGAACCACGCCTGGTTCAAGCCACTGCTCTGCCCGGCCCACTCAAGGCAGCGTGAAAGTATGTGCTCTGTCATCGAACCCCAGGCTGGCCCCAGCCTGGCGCCAGGCTCTGTAGTGTCCCGTCCCGTCGGTACCGGCGCTGTGATCTCACCTGAGACCTGCAGGCACCTGCCTACCTGCACACCAGTCGGGGAGCAGGCCCTGTGTCTCGCTGGCTGGTAGCCTGTCCGGGTCCCGGGCATTTACTGATGTTGATGGAGCTCCTGTCAATGAAATACTACAGTGGGGAAAGAGACACACATGTATGTAAAGTGATAATATTTACCACTCCAGGCTTCTGTGCTCAGGGTGTTAAGTTGACATCATCGTGAAACTATGAGCATTGTGACCAAGGGGCTTTCATCCGAACGTGCAGTGTGGGGGCTGCCTTTCAGTCTATAACCTCAGCTCTCCAGGGGGCACAGAGCCCTTTACCCCTCCGTCCCCATTCCTTTTATAGGTTAGACATGCTTTGGCAGCAGTCGAAGCGAAATTTAAAAAATGATCAAGTCCAAACGGTCAGAGCGATTTCAAGTCGTGTGCGGCAGCCGGCCAGTCTGGGGCTGAGGGCTGGGGTCAGTGACACCTGGCTCTGTCGGAAGGACGTTCTGTGGCCGAAACACCATTGAGAGAGAGAGGCTCTGGTATATAAAGTGCTAATATTTACAGCATCTGGTTTCTGTGTACACGAGGGAGGTTCTGTGCTGTACCCGGAGAGATGGGCTGACATTCAGGGTGACAAATCATCCGACACTCTGACAGCGATGATGTTTATTACAGACACCACCTACTCCTCGTGGCGAACGCAGAAAGCCAAAACAAGTAAACAGATCAGTCAGGATTGCGGTAGTATTCGATCCCTTTGCAGTGGCAAACTTGAATACATTTCCAGGCACAAAATCACCGTCCAGAGCCGCACGATAAGATGCAGCACGAGTGAGAGGTGGGGGGCCTGTGGGGGTGCCGGGGCGCAGCGGAGGCCGTGCAGGCGTGTCGGTGCGCCTGTGTTCCCCCTCCTCTCGGCCTGTGCTGACGTGACTCCTCTCCCTGCAGGAGGGCAGCGTGAACGGAGCAGGATGTCTCCTTTTCTCCGCATCGCCTTCAACGCCTTTGACCTGGGCGCCCAGCCTCCCCTGCCCGAGCCGCCCTTCTGCGCCATCAAGATGAAGGAGTCCCTCAGCACGGGTGAGAGCGCCGCGCCCCAGGAAAGACCCGAGCCGGGGCCCGTGGCGGCGGGATAGCCGATGGGCAAGACACCTCTCCCCTCCCTGCTGCCCGGCTCTCAGCCGAGATTCAGATCAGAGTACTGAGCAGCTCAACCCCTGTAGTCCAGTCTGTTTTTAGCCTGGGCGGTCCTCTAGTCTGTACTGCAGCGTGAGGACGGCAGGTGTGTGTGTGTGTGTGTGTGTG